GCCTTTAATCCCAGCACTCGGGAGGCAGAGCCAGGCGGATCTCTGTGAGTTCGAGGCCAGCCTGGACTACCAAGTGAGTTCCAGGAAAGGCGCAAAGCTACACAGAGAAACCCTGTCTCGAAAAACCAAAAAAAAAACCAAAAAAAACCAAAAAAACCTTTGAATTACATTTTATTAGTGTGCGTGTGTGTGTGTGTGTGTGTGTGTGTGTGTGTGTGTGTGTGTGTGTAGAAGTCAGAGGATAACTTACAAGAATTGACTCTCCTTCCATCATGTGGGCCCCAGGACTTGAACTCAGATAGTCAGGCTTGGTGGCAAGCACCCTTACCTATTAAGCCATTTCTATGCCCCCCCTTCCCCCTTTTGAGACAAGGTCTTGCTGTGTCATCCTGGCTGGCCTGGAACTCTGTGTACACCAGCTGGCCTTGAACTTACAACAGCCTCAGCCTCCCAAGCCTTAGGATGGTAGATGAACTAATACCTTAACCAGCTAAACTATGAGTCGTGCTCCTGGCCACAGGCTAAGATCTAACCATTGCCACATACTGAGCTCTGATCCTGGTCATACTCTGAGCACTAATCTTGATTATGCCCTGAGTCCTAAGCCTTTTCACATACTGAGCTTTGCTCTTATTTGTACACTGAGCCTTGGTCATGCTCATACACTGAGCCTTGGTCCTGGCCACACACTAAGCTCCTGTCTGGATAATATTCTGGGCCCTGATCTTGATTATGCTCTGAGTTTTGACTCTGTTCAAACATTCATCTCTGATCGTACACTGAGCCTTGATCCCTGTCCCAGCATGAGTCTTGACCCTGGTCATGCAATGAACGCCTGTCACAGGTTGAGCTATGACTCTCTACATTGTCCCTGGAGGTCACCAAGACAGAATGGGGGGTGGGTTATTCTCTTTTCCACTGAGCCGATTGAGACGCTACAGCTGGAAACTGGGCCCTGGTCTAGAACCCCTCCCATCAGAGTCTCATGGAAGAAAAGGGAAGGGAGGGGAGGGGAGGGGGAAAGGAGAGGAAAGGGAAGGGGAAGGGGAGGGAAAAGAGGCTGGCTCATCTGGAAAGAGAATTAGGATCCCCTGATGACACACAGGCTGTCCTCCTGGGGCTACTGCCCATGAGGCTAGGGATAGAAAAGGTCTTTGGCTGGTAGCTGTGGGAATTAGATAGAGCCAGGGCTGCTGATAGAGCCAAACTCTCAAGAGACATCGAGAGAGATAAGTGGCTCTGGCCCCCCTCGGGATGGAACAGACCCTATTGTGGGACAACCCGTAGCCCTCCCTGTAAGCAAGGCTTCATGTCCTGGTCTGGTCAAAGAAGACAGATGGGCTCCTCTGGAGAGGTCTCTCCTCCAGGACTTGTTATACGCATCCGTAAAATGTGAACAATGGGGCTGGAGAGATGGTTCAGAAGAGATGGTTCACGACCACATGTAACTCCAGCTCCAGGGCATCCCATACCTTCCTCTGGCCTCTGAGGACACCTGCACTTATGTGCACATACCTCCCCCATGGAGAGACAGACAGACAGACGAGACACACACACACACACACACACACACACACACACACACACACACACACGAGATTTAAAAATAAAATAAATCCTTAAAATCCGAGAGACAATCAATCAAATCCCCAGACAATTCTAAGAACATTGGGGCTCTATGCACCTCGGAGTCTGGGGTAGAGTCTAGACAGACAGGAAGATGTACACAGTGCCGGTTGTAGGGTTCTACAAGGTCTGGGGAGCCCTTTGGCACATCCACCATGGTCCTTCGTAAGCTGTGGCCATAACACAAAATGAGGTAGTGACTCTGAGCGCCCTCAGCTCTGGCGGGTTAGATGCTGGGCAAGGGGTCAACCCAGCTTCAATGCTTCTCTGCTCCACTGCAGTTTGGATTCAGGGTCCTGGACAGGGGACACAGGGACACAAGGGGCATACATAGAGTCTGTGCAACGCCTACCAGGCTCACCTTGTCACCTCAGCAACTGGGAGATGGCCCCTCCCAGCCACTCAACTCCAGCATCTTACCTACCAGTCAATCCCAGGGATTTGTCACCAGCCTTCCAGAAAGTGACCATCCTGACCAAGAGCATCCCTCTTCCCATTCCCACCACCGCCCCCAGTGCCCCTCAAGGGTGGTGCCAGGGCAAGGCGCAGCATCCCTGCTCTGAACATACAGAGAGGCAGTGAGGTCCAGAGAGCAGCTCCAGCTGTGCCATGGGGGCCCACTGTGCAGTCCCACACAGACGCAGCTGTCCTGGTCCCATGGGACCATCAGAGGCCAGACAGGTCTGAAATAGAAAGCAAATCCAGGCCCTGCGGGGGATCTGGCCAACTCCTGACCCTGGTCTAGTTCTGCCAAGGGAGCTGCAGCCGAGCCAACTCAGGGTGGTACAAGGGCCCCAGAACCAGTCTGCTGGAAGAGAGAGAAGCCCACACATCGCCCAGGTACTAGGCCTGGAGCTGTTCCTGAAGCTTCCATGGAGAAAACATGCAGGGCTTTGGTTCCATGTGTGACCGGCAGCTTGAAAGAGGGGACAAACTCCAGGTCTGGCTCCCCTCCTTCTAACTATGCACTCTTGGGCAGGTGACTTGACTTCTCTGATTTGTCCTTCCTGAGAATGGAACCCAGCCCCCCTTCAGAGGCTTGAAGGTTAAGATCCAGCACCTGATACCACTGTGGGTGCCTCACTCTGCATTTCTTCGTTAGTTTCGTTTTTTGAGACAGGGTTTCTCTGTATATCCCTGGCTGTCTTGGAACTCGCTGTATAGACCAGGCTGATCTTGAACTCACAGAGATCCGCCTGCCTCTACCTCCCAAGTGCTGGGATTAAACGCGTGCGCCACCTCCACCCAGCTTCATTCTGTATTTCTTGCTGAACGATGGACCCTTAGATTATGCTTCTAGATGGTAAAGTCACACCCCAGCAGTGGGTCACTTGAGAAGAGTCTCCCAACTGCCCCTGTTGGTGTCACAGTACCTTGGTACAGGCCGAGGCAGAGCTTGAGTGACTGTATCTCAGGTCACTTTGCTCAGTACCTGATCACTTTGGGACCCCTTGAAGCCTCTTCAGCCCTTTAGAGGCCCAGTCAGCCCCCAGAGACCAAGGATAGCTAAGTCTCCTCCCCCCACCCCCGCTCCCTGTAATTGTCATGTTGCCCGAGATAACCCAGTCGTGCCCTACGATCCCATCACACTTCAGAGAACTGTCTCCTTGCTCCAGCCTCTCACTGCACCCACCCATGCACCTGGCCTGTCACCTATGACCCATGCACCCATGTCACCCCTCAGACAAAGTTCGGGAATCAAGGCGGCAGCCGAGAGCTCCGGGGAGGCTGCCCTGTCCTCTGTAGCCTCAGCGTCACCCTTTTTCTCAGGTCCGTACAGCCTGCCAAGTGATAGGACAGGACCCACCCAGGTGCTTCCTGGAGGTGGAGGACATTAAGGAGAGAAGGACAGAACACCCCTTCCTGCGCTGTTCCAATGTGGAGACCTGACAGGGACAGGAACAACGGAGGCAGGCTGGAACTGGGCATCCCAGGCACAGAAAGTCCCAGCCACTGACCAGGATGCCCAAGTGTAGAAGAAACAGGTGGGCACTGACCTCTAGGAAAGGAGCAAGGCTTTCTGGGATCACCTCTGGCCAGCTGGTGAAATGTGAGCTCCTCCAGCCTCGGGCCCTGTTCTTGCCTGCCAATCGGGCCCTGCCCACAGCAGTGACATGGAGTCCCTGCCCCTCAGCCCTGCAGACTAACAGAAGCCTGAAGGCCTGCCTCCAAAACCAGAAGCCAGTGCTGGCCTTAGGGAGTCAGTTTGGCGAGCCACGGGCTCCTACACTTCTCCGAGTCTCCGTTTGCCCATATGGGACAGACACAACGGGATTCTGAGAATACATTGGTGAGTGTGGACTGAGGCTGGGGGATTACACCCCGCTTCTATAACCTTCATTTTCTAGAGGATCAAAGCCACCACCGGTGCCTATAAGGGCTGCTGTGTGAAAGTGTCAGCTCCCTCTCAGCTCCATCACACTCTCCAGGTCTCTGCTCTACAGACCTTGACTGTGCAGCTGCCCCTCCCTTCCCTCTGCCCATTCAAGCAGCCCCTTCCCGTTATACCTCCCCCTACTCACTCCAGAGTCCTGCCCTCATTCCTCTCCTGGTCTGGCTGGATCTGCCAGTAGGCACCCACTTCCTTCCTACAGTCTTTATCACAGCCAGTGTAAGCTCTGGGGGCCCAGGGCCTCCTGGGTCTGCAACACCAGAATGGCTGCCAAGTGGATGCTCAGGGAAGCAGGATGGTGTGATTGAAATGAATGATAGAGCCGGGTGGTGGTGGCACATTCCTTTAATCCCAGCACTCGGGAGGCAGAGCCAGGCGGATCTCTGTGAGTTCGAGGTCAGCCTGATCTACAGAGTTCCAGAACAGCCAGGACTGTTACACAGCGAAACCCTGTCTCGAAAAAAATTTTAAAAATAAGAAGAAAGAAAAAGAAAAAAAAAAAAGAAATGAATGATAGAAATGAGGAGCAGAGGACTAGAGAGAACTCCTAGCGGAGCAAACAGCCCTCCACAGCCTTAGTCCCAGCAAGGTTCAGCCCTTGCCCTACCCAGAGACCATCCTCTGCCAGCAGTCTGTGGCTGCACCTGCCTGGATGCCCTCATCCCCCACCTGCCAGGGCAGGACCCACCTTGCAGATCTCTCCTCTCTCAGAAACTGGCCTAGCTGTTCTAAGACAACCCACAGCCTTGGGCCAGAAGCCAACCCTGCCCCCCTCCATTCTTCCTGGTCTCAACAGCTGTGGCTCACCCCTCTGTCTAGGGGAGGTGCGGTATTTCTGAGCCCCTAGGCTCCCTCTGGCCCCAGCTCCTCTAGACAGCCAGCAGGGGTGGGGAGGGAGACCGCTCCGCCCCCACCCCACCCACCCCTCTGCCTGTGTCCAAAAGCAGCTGGCTAGCCTGACGTCAGGCCCTGGGAAGGCACTGTCCGTTGGTCACAGACCTGGAGCTTCAGAGCCCAGGCTGAGAGCAGAGGAAGGCACGGCCAGAGCCGGTGAGTTCCCCAGGCATTGCTGACTCCGGGACCCCCAGGCAGGCAGCAGAGATCAGGGCCCCCTCATGACCCAGTCGGGTGACTTAGGGAGAAGAGAAGGGAAAGGAAGAGAAACAGTCCCAGGAAGCGAGCCCACTTCGTAACCCTCTCTGCCACAGAGACAATCGCCTAGACAGACCGAGTGAGTCCCAGAGTGGGAGGGGCAGAAGTGGCACGCTCCCTGCCCCATCGGTGACCCTCGCCCACATTACCCACTCTGGATTTCATTCATGAAATTGATTACTCATTCGGTCAACACTTGCTTCTCGTCTGCTGCTGAGTCCAAAGCCGAGAGGCAGTTTCCTCTTCTGTCAAAGCAGCGGTGTGGTCCCTCAAACCAGGTTAGGAAATAAGGCGCGACCCACAAGGCGCTTGATGAGCTCTGGGTCCCTAGCCACTAGCACCAGGAGGGGACAAGGCTCGGAGAAGCATCTATTCTACAGGGGACTCTGTGCTGGCCCAAGGCCTCCGCTCTAGCCTAGGTCCTTCCTCCTCCCTTTCAGGAGTGGGGAAACTGAGGCCAGTTGCTGGATTCTTCTACTCAGCCCACAACACGGCCCCAAAGTTGATGCTTCCCAGCCGGGCTTGCCCTGATGTGGCTGCCCTGTGAGAAGGCAGTAGAGCAGGGTCCCGAGGGGGCTGGCTGGCTGGGAACTGGCTGGTGGCCAGAGTGCCTGGGAGGAACAGACATGGAGCAGCTGGGTAGCCTCAGGCAGGGCTGAGACAGGCTGGTGGAGGGATTGCACAGCCCGAAGGGTTACTTGCCACTGCCCACCTTCACCTGCTGGCCTCAGCAGCAAGCCACCAGGGTCTTCTGCCCCGCACAGGGGCTGCCGGCTGTGTGTCTATAAGCAGGTCACTCTGCCAGCACAGTTAGAGTGAAGGAAGCTGTGCTTTCTGCTGGGAGCCTTCAGGGGACCTCTTCCATCCTACACAAGCTAGTGTGAAATGGGGGTGGCTATCAGGAACCCCAGAGGGTCAGAGGGGGAACAGAGGCTCAGAAATGGGGGGGGGCGCAGGGAGGGAGTGTCTTTCTTGTTTGTTGTTTTGAGACAAGGCCTCATTCTATATCCCAGGCAACCTTGAAACTCTTTATATAGCTTAGGTTGACTTCAAAGCTGCCACAATCCTCCTGTCTCAGCTTCCAGTGCAACTTTACAGATGTGTGCATCAGACCCAGTTCCAGCTAACTTTAGAGATGTGTGCATCAGCTCCAATTCCAGCAGGTTTTTGTTTGCGGGGTGGAAAAGGATGTGTTGGTTTGTTTTGTGTTATAGTTCTTGGTTTGGTTGCTTGTTCGTTTAGTTTGGTTGTTTGTTCGTTTAGTTTGGTTGGTTGTTCATTTGGTTGGTTGGTTGATTAGTTGATTTTAGTTTTTGAGACAGAGTCTCATGTAGCTCCCATGAACTCAAAGGCTCACTGCATCACTCAGACTTCACACTCACAGTGATCCCCCTGCTTCCACCTCCCAAATTCTGGGATTGCAGGTATGTGCCCCCACGCCCAGCTTCAAACGGGTCTTTCAGAAGCACTCATTGGCATTCTCCACAGCTGTCCTGACACAGGCCACCTAGGCCACACCCTTACTAGTCCCAGTCCAGCCAGATACCACACAAATAAAAACAGAGAGGCAGGTGAACAAAGAGAATGAGCAAGGGAAGTCGGGTGCTCCAGCAGAGCCCCATGAGGAGGTGAAGTAAGCCCCAGGATGTCTGAGTAAGACTCCTTCCATAGGTCTAGTCAAAACCAAGGCCACCGTGTGCTTAGCATGCCCTGACTTCTTCCGGAGTAATTGAGCCACAAAAGGGGCTCCTACCTCAGGACTTCGAATGTGTCTAGCCAGCCTTCCCCTACACCATTCCCTTAGATGGGTCTCCTGGCCCTGCTTCCACTCCAGCTGTGAGCTGTCTGAGGAGAGGCCACCTCAGTCTAAATCCTTTATGAAGGCCCCAGTGCTGGAGTCCAGTGGGATCCAATGCCTGCAGAGCTCCCAGCCGTCCCTGCAGTCTGCAGGGGACAGCAAGTGGCTGAGCCAGTCCTCCTGTTGGAGGAGGACTAGCACAGGGCAGGCAGCAGGCCTGGCCTCCTGTGCCCCCAGCCCAAACAGAGCATGGACCTGGGGATTGGAGAGTGCAGAATTCAAACCTAGCACTTCCACCCCTACTGTGTGACGCTGAACATCAGAATAAACTTCTCCAGGCCCCAGTTCCTTCACAACCAAAATAGGGTCAGCAGCACCGACTTGGAGTTCCCTTGAGAGGGGGTAGTGAGATCCTTGGAAGTATCCTCAAAGAATCGTGAGACTATATAGTTCTCTCCCCCTAGAGGGGTGTCCAAGGTACCGGGGATTTAAGCAAGCTCAGGCACAGTTGTGTGGGGGTAGTGGCTGTGATTACCAAGAGCCTACACCAGGTGACCCAGGCTCAAAGAACAGCATGCCTGGAGGGGAGAACAGTGGGTACAGAAACCATGCCCACCAGGCTAAAGGTCTATACTCCAAAGAAATAAGCATCTGCCCCTTTGGCCCATCCCAGCAGCCCCTAGAAAGGCTGAATTGGCAAAATGGGATGTCCGAGGCTGGTGAAGCTGTAGTTGTCCAGGCCAGAGGTGAGCAAGGAACCAGGATGGCAGGGAGACATGCCTGGGAACATCAGGACCTCCAAGTGTGGCCAGTGGTTCCAGAAACATGCGGCATTCCCATTAGGAACAAGGACTCAGCTAAATGTTCTCAGATGATGACTTTGGGGAAGTCAGCAAGATACAACCCAGGTCCTATTCTCAACAGTGTTCAGTCTGCTCCCAGAGAAGCTGTGTTAGCGGCTCTTAATGTCCTAACAGTGTTTCAGGGCGCTGCCAGCTGACCCAAGGCAAGTCTGGTCCTTATACAGGACTGAATGAGGAGGAACCAAGGGGCAGCTCAGGCCAAGTGAACACAATTGATGCTGGATCTAAAGAGGATGCTACCAAGCCCGACACAGTAGTTCACACCTGAAATCTCAGCACTTGGATAGCTAAGGCAGGAGCATTGCTGTGAGTTCAAGGCCAGCCTATGCTTATATGGTAGATTCCAGTTCCAGCTGGACTAGAGTGTGACTCTGTCTCAAATCATGCCTCAAAAATAAGCAGGCAGGTACTTCCCCAGTCATGGCTCTCTTGACCTTAGAAGACCACGTGAGTCTTTATTAGGGTTGCAGGCTGAGCCCTCACAGACTTGTACATACATCTGTACCCTCAGATCCCCAAGAACCACCCAGTTGCTGCAACTAGCCCCCCCCCCCCCCCCCCCCGCTCTCTGCATGGCTCTTGGTCCTACCCAACACAGATGGGGTCCTCAGGACCATGGTTTCCGTTCTGTGTGTCCCTGGACAGATGGCTTGCCTCTCCTATAAAAGCTGTTCCTGCCTTGTGGCTATGGAGTACTCATACTCATTCCCAGCCAATGAATGCCTAGAGCACCTTAATGCCTGCCCCTCCCAAGTCTGGCACAGTGGAGTCAGGTGGAGCAGGATCCAGAGCCACCCATCAGCTTCCTGGTCCCCATGGAGAACCAGGCAGGGCAGCCAGCCTGCAGGAGAGCAACTGTTGGGCCACGTGCAAACTTTGTGGTGGGTTTGGGCAGAGCCGAAGGAAAAGCCAAGACGAGCCACTCACCACTCATAGGTTGAGGAGAGAAGTAGCCATGGCCTCTGGTACCCAATATGGAATCCATGGCTAGAGCATTCCATGGCCATGTACTCAGAGCTAGGAAGGACAGAGGTAGCCACCCCCATCAGTGTTCTGGGCATGGTATATCAGCATGGCCTCAAGGGAGGGAACAGAGTCAGGTGACTTGAGGAGACGTTCACTCTGTCCCTGGAAGCTTCTTGAAAGCTCTGAGAAATCCTGGGAAGGCTGACATGGCCACTCAGGAGCCTTCAGCATGCTCACGGTAACTGGACGGCTCTCTTGTGGGCATTGTGGGCATTTCTCGCCGAGCCACACAACACCTCCAGGCCTCTCTGCTGGATTTCCTCCATTTATCTAGGCCCCCAGAGTCTTGACTCTACAAGGTGGAGTGACTCGGAAGGGTGTGGGTGGAGGCAGAGCCCGTTTAAAGAGGACGATTCTATGGAGTGTCATGATGTGGTGGGGGATGGGGACAAACGCAGCAATCTGAGTGAAAGCAAGGGCCTTCCTGGCAGAGGTGTCAGCCTTGCTCAGCTGGTGGACAGGGAGGGTACAGATGGGAGCAAAAAGCAGTAGCAGGCCTCCAGCTCCACCGTCAGCGAAACACCGAGGAGTCTGCCCAAGTGAGCGGTGGACAAGACCATGATTGCCAAAGAAAGAAGCCAGCCTTATCTACCCCACAGGCTTCAGCAGGAGGGAGGTTCTGTGCTGGGCTCTGACAGTCCGCAGCCCCTGAATGCTCAGACTGGTGGGAAGGCACAGCATGCAGCTTTATAGGGGTAGCCAAGTCACCAAGGGAGGAGCAGAAGACCGACTTGAGGGGATGCTCAGAAACTGGGCAGGGACCATGCCTACAGGAGAGGTTTCCCTCTAGCAGGCTAGAGTCCTGGCATCAAAGGGATACCCCAGCCCTTTCCAAGGCCCAGCCTCAGGCCCCTGGGGAAAATGGGCTGCACAGCCCTTCTGAAGTCTGCTTGCATGCGACCTGGGGGACCTGGCCCAGCACAACCTGCCCCCAGCCATGCCTCAACTGGCCTATAACATGGGAGTTCTGGCTCTGGCCACCTGGAGGGAAGAAGAGAAGTTGGCAGAGCCAAGCAGCCTCCACCACATGGGCTCACTCTTTGCTGAGGCCCGCAGAAGGCTTTTCTGGCCCAAAGCAGTGCAGGCCAGGGTGGAGGGTAAAGAGGCGTAGTGGCCCCAATAGAAGCCTTCTCCTTTCTCGGGACAGGTGTGGCCGTCAGACTCAGACAAGTCTCTGTGACCTGCTTGCTTGCAGCTTTCCTCGTCTTCAAGGGCCAGGTCTGTCTGTGCCTCCCCTCCCAGGATACATACCCACCAAAAGTCCTCTCCATTGGGACTGGGGGGTCTGGGAGTGGTCACTTAATGATGCAGCGAGGACTTCACTGGGAGGAGAAGTTGGGACTTGGGGAGTCCTTGAGGGAGTATCAGGGGTGGAAGTCATAATGGAGACAGAGGCAGCTGACTCAACAGAGGGAAAAAGAAGGTAGGGAAAGCATGCCAGTGTGAGCCCCAACTGTGGACAAATCCAGAACTCCATGAACACAAACAGGATCAGGTCTTAGAGGCGGACATGATCACTAAGTAACTGGGATCAGGGATCAGGGACCAGGATGTAACTCTAGCCTTGAGCAGGGTCCAAGTGACCTGGGTCAAGGTTCAGAATCAATCGGACAGGATGAAGACTTGTGTTCCTTGGATTGGAGAATCAGGACGTGGTGGGGATCAGAGTTCTGTCTGTGGCTCCGGGCACAACAGAGATGTGTGTCTAGGAGGAAGGCACCATACATGCAAGATCAGGGTTCAAAACATGACCAGGTCAGGATGTGACAGAGATTGGCCTTATAGTGTTTAGGGGCTTGGAGATCTGTGTATGTCAAGTCCAAAAGAAACTCCGGACAGATGGATATCTGGCGTACCTACTAGTGTACCAAAGCTCCTGCTGGCCTCCGGGGTGTCTCAGAATCACAAGTACCTGTTCCAGGGTCCATCCTGGCTCTTCTCACCCCACCCCTACCCTAAACTTCTCCAGTTCATGGGCTTCCCTCTCCTAGCTTCTCATTCCCTTATAACCCTGCTATTTCAACTATTTCCTTTGTCTTTCTCTCTTGGCCCCCTCTCTCTTTGTCTTCATCTCTCGCTCTCCTGTCCTCTCCTTTCATGGCCCAGTCCAGTCTGCTGGCCATGTTCAGTTTACTACTTTCTCTGTCTGCTCTGAACTCTTCCAGATGTCCCTGGCTGTCCTCTCCCTCACATCTACCATAAAAACCTTCCCCTCCACCATACCATGGAGCGGTCATGCCCTCACTTTATACATCTGGTGCTGAAACCCTCCGTTTACACAGTCTATAATTAGGATCAGGGTTCATTTGTATCTCTGGGATCAAGGCTCAGTGTGTAATCAGGATCCAGGCTCAGAAAGGGATCAGAGCTCTTAAAAACAAACAAATAAACCAACAAACAAGAAAACAAAACAGAAACGGTCCTTTATGTAGTTCCGGCTGTCCTGGAACTCTGTAGATCAGGCTGGCCTCTATCTCACAGCGATCTGCCTGCCTTTACCTCCAGAGTGCTGGAATAAAGGCGTGAACCACCACACCCAGTAGAGCTCATTGTTTGACTAAGGTTGGGCTCAGGGTGTTACGTGAATGGAGGCTTCTTAGGTTACTGAGATCAGGGCTCAGTATCTGACAAGGGTGAGGGCTCAGTGTGTGAGCAGGCCCCAGTCTCAGAGTGTGACAGGAACCAAGGCTCATTGACTTACTGAGATCATGACTCAGTAAACAAGTTTTAGAATTTACCGTGACACGACCATCAGGGCACGGCTTTATCCAAAGTGAGGGCTCCGATTCTTGGAGGGGAGCATCAGTGTGTGCGGGCCTCCATCCCTCCTCACCTGAGGGTATTCTGAACATGGATGGCTCCCAGCTTTCTCAAGGCTCAGGATACCCCAGAGCCCCGCTGTGTTATTGTGTCCTTAGCACCTCAATAGCATGTCTTGTGATTACAGTTGTCCCCCAAGAGTTTGGGGGGGGGGCAGGACCCTGAGGGCTGGCGTCACCCTGGGACTAATTCCCAGAGGAAGCGCTGTAATGTTTATTGTGAGTCTCTGATTGTGACATTCGCCCAAGGCCAGAGCAGACAGAGCCTGGGGAGAATCTATAGAGAACAATCTGTCTTTGTTAGCTCTAGGGTCTTTTCTTCCAGCACATTCTTTGTCATAAAGCAAGGACCCATCAAGTGTTACTGTCTCCTCCCTGGTGACCTTCTGTGTCCTTGATCCTAAGGTACAACCCATAGTCCCAAGGTGCCAAGTCCTGGCTCCACGCTCCCTTGTGTCCATAGAATACCTTTCCTGCTCCCTGCCTGCTGCCTTGGAACCATAGGGCCACAGGAAGGCCATACCATTGACTCAGAAAACACTTCTGCCTGGAGGGGCCAAGGGTAAGGACCCTGTGTCCTGGGCAGCACAGAGCTCCTCCTAGAAGCCCCGGTGTGGTAGATGTCCAGGGTACGGGTCTCTGGGACAGAAGGTATGCTGGATGACCTCAGCAGCCACTGACTTCTCTGAGCCTACAGCTAGAGGTGGCCCCCAGCCCTGCCAGACCCCACCCTTCAAAGTCAAGGCTGAATCTACTTTGCTAGGATAGACATTGGATCCCCATTTCCCATCTACTGGGAGGCAAGACTCTGTGGCTAGTTCTAGGTTGGGGTGGCCAGAGGGAACCTGCTGCCTGAGGCCATGTGGCCAGGCCCTGGAAGTGGACAGTGCCTGGGCTGTTTATAGCAGCCAGCTAACAAGGGGGATGCAGGGAGCCAGCCTACGGATGAGGAGAGTTTTCTTGTGCCCTGCAAGGGGGTAGGGCAGTGGGCACCAGCAATGCTGCATGTGCCGCCCTCCTCCCTGCCTCTTCCCAGAGACTCCTTTCTCCTGAAAAACCCCAAAAATGTCCATATTTGGAGGGTCAGCCAGCTGGGGGTGGGGGTGGGGGGGCTCTGGGATCCTATTAACTCTTCCTCTTTAAATAAAGGGATAAATCAGAGCAGAGTTAAACACGGTGGCAGAAACATAAACAGCGGGTAGCTTCGGCCCAACCTCCTGCCCCCCCCCCACACACACACCACTCTGCACAGAGTCCAGCGTTTATTTGACTCACACCGGAGGCCAGGCAGCTAGGCAGCTAGCTTCGGCTGGGACCTGCCTCCAGGCTCCAGCTCTCAGCACCCAAATAGCCTACTGAGCACCCATTCTCCAGGGAAGGTCCAGAGTGGTGATCTGGAGCTGGTCTGAGAAGAGGTAAGAATAGACCAGAGCCCAGGGGCTGGGGCCTTGGCGCTGGGTGTGGGGCACGGGCAGGGCAAGCAGCTTCTAATCCCCCACGTGGGCCAGCTAGTCTTTGTCCCAGCAGAACTGGTTCATCATCCACCAGCTATGTGTGCAATGCTCCCAGAGGCAATGGGATTCCAGTGGCATAGAGAAGAAGAGAAAGCACCGTAGTAAAGGACTTGCCTACGGACACACAGCTAGGACATGTAAGAGCTAGCTAGCCCTGAACTCACACAGGGCTCTTTTCTCTGGAGTCTCGTGGAGTCTGAGGACAGTCCTCCAGGCAAATGTTTGTGTATCCAGCAAGGATGGTCTCAGGAACCTCAACATCTTGCTCCATGCACTCAGTACAGGGTCTGGGTGGAATGGAGAGACAAACAAAAACATGGATTGGGGAATGCCAGGTACCTGGGATAACTCATCTGCTTGCTTCCAGGCTACTGGGGGTGCACTGACCACTGCCATGCCCTCTGCATCCCCCACGAGGCCCTGGGATGCCGTGCTCCCCAATGCCACTGCAGCAGCATGGACCAATGGAACTGTGCCAGAGAGGCCTCTGTTCCACCTGTTTGCCCAGCTGGATGAGGAACTGCACAGAGACTTCCCCAACCTGTGGTTGACACTAATGGTCGTGCATGGCACCATCTTCCTGGCCGGGCTGGTGCTCAATGGACTAGCATTGTACGTCTTCTGCTGCCGCACACGGGCCAAGACACCTTCGGTCATCTATACCATCAACCTGGTGGTGACTGACCTGCTGGTGGGCCTGTCCCTGCCCACGCGCTTTGCTGTCTTCTACGGTGCCCATGGCTGCCTGCGCTGTGCCTTCCCTCATGTCCTGGGCTACTTCCTCAACATGCATTGTTCCATCCTCTTCCTCACCTGCATCTGTGTGGACCGCTACCTGGCCATCGTGCAACCTGAGGGTTCCCGTCGCTGGCGCCAGCCGGCCTGCGCCAAGGCTGTGTGCATCTTTGTGTGGCTGGCAGCAGGCGTCGTGACCCTGTCCGTACTGGGCGTGAAGGCTGGTGGACGGTCATGCTGCCGCGTCTTTGCTCTGACCGTTCTGGAGTTCCTGCTGCCGCTGCTGGTCATCAGCGTGTTCACAGGCCGCATCATGTGTGCCCTGTCGCGGCCCGGCCTGCTACGCCAGGGCCGCCAACGCCGCATGCGGGCCATGCAGCTGCTGCTCACCGTGCTCGTCATCTTCCTGGTCTGCTTCACGCCCTTCCATGCCCGCCAGGTGGCTGTGGCGATATGGCCCAATATGCCCCACCACGCAACCCTCGTGGCTTACCATGTGGCCGTGACCCTCAGCAGCCTCAACAGCTGCATGGACCCCATTGTCTACTGCTTCATCACCAGTGGCTTCCAGGCCACTGTCCGTGGCCTCTTCCACCAGCATGGAGAAGAATTCAAACCCAGCAGTATGGATGTGGTCAGCATGCACAAGAGCACCAAAGGCTCAGGCCCCCATCAAATCCTCAGCCCTGGCTCTCACACCCTCACCCAGCCTCTGACCAATGGGCCTGAGCCATAAGGCAGCAGTACTCTGCCCAGCGCCAGAGGTCAAGGCTCTAAAAGGTCACCCGCCAGACACAACCAGGGCCTGGCCAACAAGTTGCCATCCTATTGATCCATTGGATATGGCTACCCGGTGTGTTGTATTGACAAACTGAGGCCACTGTGCTGTGATTGATTAGCAATGTCTGCCAGGAGCTCCAGATAGGGGATAATGGTGTGAATGCTGGAGGCTTGCCTTCCCTATGGCTGTGTGGTGTCCAGTGAACACTCAGAAAGGTAGCCAGGAGCTGCTTCTAGGCTCTTTTATTTTATTCCCGGAAGACGTTCCTCCAGAGAAAGCACAGAGGTGAATGTTCTGAGGACTCCCAGGAGGGTTAAACACAACCAGAAGTCTCCATCACCAGCAGATGGAGAAACAAGAATAGAAGGTCGAGGTTTGAGGTTCAAGACTGTTATCTACAGGGAGTGGAGACACCCCCTCGAGTGCCCCTGGCCTCTCAACTACACCACCGGCCAGCAGAGCAATACAAGGTGGCCCACTGTGTGCCAGGACTTAGGTATCTGGCTAACACTTGAACGGCCACAATCCCCAAAGAAGCTACTTTTAGTTTTAAACTTTTTTTTTTTTTTTCATGCAGAGGGGGAGGTGACACAGACACCAACCCTGGTCAACGGTAGGGTCAAAGCTAAGACCCACTCCCACAGCCTCCAGCATCCCAGCTCCTGCTTCCATGGCTACCTCCCAGATCCGGAAGACCCTCCCCAGGAACGCTCCTGAATCCACTGCCTGCTGCCCCAGACTCTGTGAGGCCCCAGCCCTGTCCAGCCGATGAAGACGTAGGAATAAAGACTCAAAGTAACTCAAACTCAGAGCCTCCAACCTAAGACCTCTACGTTCCTAGGCTCGCTCCTCTGCGGGCCAGAGCTCCCCTGGAGATGGACCCTGATCACCGTCTCTGAGCTGGACTCCAAGGAGGGTCTCATGCTTGTCGGTCTCAAGTTCTAGGCTCCTGGTGTTTGGGGGAGGGGTCTGTGGTGAAGGAGCAGGCTCTGAGTCATAGTGCCCAAAGCAGGTGAGGTGGGATCTGAGTCCAGATTGTACACTGGTCTAGTGAGAAGTCTCATATGTTCCAGGGACCTGGGACCTGAGTGGCTGGGGACGGGAGGCAGTTGGAGCAGGGGTAAGGGTACAAAGGGTTTCTAACTGACTCCAGACAGAGTACCCCACCCAAGCTCAGGGAAACTGTGTGAGAGCAAGAAAGCCAGTTAGGGCCCCACTTTCCAGCAAGGAGTCTAGGCTTGGGATATAGCTGAGTGCTTAATTGCTAGCTCAACATGCATGGGGTGCCCTGGATTCAACTCCCAGTACAACACAACAAAGCAAAAAATGGAGTAAAGGTGTTGTGGAGGTCGTGGGGAGAGCAGAGCCCTTGGATAATCAGAGGTCAGTCTTGTCCCCACTAATCCCAATTAGGTGTCTAGGACATCGTGAGACCACTGGGGTGAGATGACACTGGATTGTATTTCCTGGCCAAGATGACCTAAAGTCCAGACATCAAAGACATCCAGGAAAGACAGTGGGGTATGGCCCTGCTTGGGGCTACTTCCTATCTGTAAACCTGAGAAGCAGGGGGCAATATCATGGCACTTTTTTTTTTCCTTTTTGGTTTTCTGAGACAGGGTTTCTCTGTGTAGCTCTGGCTATCCTGGAACTCACTCTGTACACCAGGCTGGCCTCGAACTCAGAGATTTGCCTGCCCCTGCCTCCTGAATGCTTAGATTAAAGGCATGCTTCACCATCGCCTGGCCGTGACACTCTTTTGTTCTTCTAACTGCCATGTCCTTGACCCTTACTAGAGTCTTCCTTTGGGCCTCATACTGAGGCCCCTCCCCAAACACAAGGGTCATTACAGGGCCAGAGACTCCAGACTCCATCCCAAGGGATCTTTTAAGTTCCTATAGACTGCTCACATCCTTTCCTCACAACCAAGTCTGTGTCTCTATAACCTTGACTCCTTCTGTGCTATGAGATCCACAGAGTCAGGGACTGTAGACAATGGAAACTGAGACAGAGCAACGGCCTACTTAAAGATGAGTCCAAGCCTGTCTCTCTGGGAGTCAGTGATGGTCCGGGAGCTACACCAGCCTCTTTAGCTTCACATGAACATCACTCTAACTTCTTCTAGCACAAGCCCCCATCTCTCACCCCAACCCCACTGATCCGGCCACACCAGCCCGTCTGTTACCTTTGCCCCTTTTCCTCCCTACCAAAGCTCCCCCATCCTGGTTCCCCATTGTCTAATTCACACTAAAGAGGGAATAAGTGGACTTGGTCATAAAGAGGTTGCAATTATACTGGGACAGTCCTCTCTAGAAGAAAGGGGTCTCAGAAGTGGGTGAAGAGTCGTGCCCAGGTCTAAAATAACACCATCAACCTGGGTTCCTCAGGGCCTTGGAAGTTTCTCGGGCTATAAGAGCCTTTTAGTGAAGGATTTTGAGGACCTAGGCAGGAGCTTGTCACCATTTAAGCCACCAGGACTGGCTGCCTTCTGCGGCGGGGTCAAGAGCCAGGCTTGGGACCACTCTTCTGCCTCCGAGAATTCTGACTACCTCTCTTGAAGAGCTTTGGAACCCCAGTTTCCCCACACCCCACTCCCTTTTCCTCTCCTTGAAGTTGGAAAGTGTAATCTGGGGGCATCTTGACCTCTGGGGATCCAGGGGCCAGGGCCAGGAAACTGACAGGTCTCCCTGGTCCTGGGAAATCAGACTATAACCCCACTTCAGAGATATGGCTGCTAAGTAAGGGTCTATCCAGGAGGGCCCTGCTCAGGCCCATGGTGCCCAGACTATGAAGTTTCTGTGCCCAGTCTGTCTTCCCTCCCGGATTTTCAAAACTCCCAAGTGACGTGAAATGTGTATTTATATCCGATGTAAACAGCATCCTTCACTAGAAAGTCCTCGCCCTGAATCAACACTGTTTATTTTCCCTGTGCCCAGCTCGGCTCCCAGCTGGCAGGTGGGGGCTGATGGGGGCACCCAGACTAAAGGGACCTGTGTTGCTCCTCTCTCTCTTCTCACTGCCCTGTGGAACACCCAAGGAGGGAATAAAGAGGTAGGTGAGCAGCTAGATGCCCAAGCTTCTCATCAGAGCCTCAAGGTGTGACCCGGAGACAGGGGACCACTGGCCCATCTGTGGGCCTACTAAGTGCCTAGTAGCCATTCTCTCTCTGGCCTGAGATGTGAGAGTCCCCACTTTACTTCATTGATGGGGGCAGTGTCTGCCGGGGGTTAGCTTGGGAAAGTTCTGCTTGGTACCCAGCTTTTGTCTCTCAAACGGGCCTGTCTGGCCTTGGCCCAGGGAGGCTCAGAGGAGACAGGGATGCAGAGAGGGACGCTGGCTGTGGGAGACTCATCATTCTTTGTGTCTGGCACCGCTGAGCAGCCGGAGGCGTCTAGAGGTAAATATTAGGGACTGTTTAGATTAACCTCCATTAATAGCAGGAAATGTCACCTTGGGTGCCTGCCCTGGCTTCCTGTAGGCCTGAGGCGGGGCCTAGTCTGGTTCAAACTGATGGCCAGCAGAGAACTGTTCCCGTGAATTCCAGCTCTCCCACACCCATTTGCCCAAGCTCAAGACCACCGTCTGATGTGGGAGGGCTCCGCCTGCCACGGCTCCCTGAACCTCACTCCTAGGGGGATCCCGGAGGCAGGGGGTGTAAATACCAGGGAAGAAGACACCGCTTGGCTGACTGGAGCTCCCACCACACATACCCTCTGGGCTGGGCTCCCAGTTCTCAGAGGAAAAAAGTAAGGCCAGAAAAGCACGGTGACAAGGCAGTACCCTCCGGTGTCACCCAAAGACAGGACTGGAATGCCCCACACAGACCTCTTCCCAGCCACATACACCGGAGCCACAGAAAATGTGAACCTGGGCTGAGGAGGCGGAGAATAGCCACCTGAGTGCCAGCAAGGGTCACATGGCCTCAGAGCAGAGGCCAGGTATGGGGACAGGGCAGAACAGGTAGAAAGCAACACACACACACACACACACCCCAGCAAATCACACTCCCTCAGGCACATCTTCCCCACTCCTGTGTTCCCAGGACCTCACGGCCCCAGGAAGACCCCTAGGCTCTTCAGCCCACAACACCCTCCTGCCTGTGGCCCTCCTCTGCCTCTGCCCCCATCTCAGGACGGTTCTACTCAACCTTTCCAGTACCTACCCCACCACCTACCCACCCATGCCACCACCTCCCTCCTCTTCCTTGCTCCCTGAGGCCACGTGTGCCAAGACCGGCTCCTCCCCAGCCTATACTGCAAGATAGGGCATACTTCTCAGGAACCCCCAGACTGCACCCTCCCCTGTTGTCACCCCAGCCACTTTACACGTGTCTGTCACTGACCACCGCCACTCCCCTAAGACTGAGTCTCCAGATGAGCTCATTGTCCCACACTGTGACCTCTTCTTGTACCCTGGGACTGGCATCTGGCATCAGGCTCGGATCAGCCCGTGACAGCCGTGTGTGACCTGACCCTGCTCATAGGGAGACTTCATGGCAAAGAAGGGGACCTCTGCCTCCCGGTCAGTTTCCTCGTCCTTCACTGACTCCCAGCCCCACCCAGCATGTGGGGGAGCCTCCAGGTCACCAAGCCTGATTCCCCTCTGCCCACCACCTGGCATCAGACCTCATCTGAGACTTAAATGGGAAATGCCCGGTAAACGCTCTGTTCAAGCCTCCGGCCCCCTCCTCTGTTAGCCCTGGACCTCCTGAGGCTTCAGTTGGTGGGGTTGTAGGCCAAAGGAGACCTTAACCTAGGTACAAGTCTATTCTGTCAGAACCTGAGGAGGTCATCAGGCACATAGAGTTTGGGCAGGGGTGGGCAGAAGCCCTATCATATGCCCTGTACTGACCCACCTGTCTCTTGACCATAGTGGGCTCATTACTTTGAGGCCATGTCAGTACTTCTGGGTTTGGGGTAGTCTTTGTATTTTATATGGACTCGGTCCACAGATCACCAATCCACAAGGGACACAGTGGAACGGGCCCTGGCTACCAGAGCCTGGGATGGGGCTCTGAAGAACTGGGTCCAGGGATGCCACTTTCCTGCTCCTCAGCTGCGGCCCACTCGAAGCCCATCCTTTCTTGGAGGCAGTACCCAGCCGCCTAAGACCATGGGCCTGACAACTTCAAATTCCTGTTGCTTTACTCAGCAAAGGAGGCATCTCAGGCTGGGGAGCAGGGGCCAAGTCCCGGTGGGCTTCCCTTCCTGGCTAGACCAGGGCTGCCACCTCCCACTTCTGCATAGCAGAGACATCCAACATGAGGGGGTGTGAAGAGTCTCCCCACCTCACTGACCCAGTGACTCCCTGGTGGGGAGCCCCAGGACTTTGAGTTTTGCACCTCATCCTTCACAGAGCAAAGCCACGGGGTTATATCAGGGAAGCTTCCAGAACCCTGCTCAAGAAGTCACAGCCCCGTGAGGACAGGCATCCAGGGAAGGCCCAAACCAGAGGACAGGGTGTCCACCCTCCTGCCAATTATTCCTGTTCTCTTACGCCTCCATTTCTTCTTCTGATCTTTACTGGACTCACTCCACCTTAAGGCAAGGGTACAAGGAGTAAGAGTGTGTACCCAGGGCAGGAGGATTACCTCAAGTTCAACTGTAGGCTACACAATAAGACCCTGCCTCAGAAGACAAACAAAAAAGTGAGTGTCTATGTATGGGTGGTACATGTGTGTATATGTACGTAGACACATGCTTCTGGGCATTTGAATGTAAGTTTGTGTGTGTGTGTGTGTGTGTGTGTGTGTGTGTGTGCATGAAGCTGGGCATATATGTATATATACATGTGAGAGTGTATTGTGAGTCTGTGTTTATATACACATGGATGTGAGTCTACATGCATATGCCTGTATATGCAAGTATATATGTATAATGTGTGAGTCTGTGTGTGCATAAGTGTATGTATGTATGTATGTGTGACATGTGAGTCTGGGTATGCACGGATGTTAATCTATGCATGTGTCTGCATGTGAATGTATGTATGTACATGTGTGAGTCTGCATATACACAGGTTTAAGTCTAGATATGTGTGTATGCATGTATATATGTGTATGTATGTATATGTATAAGCCTGTGTATGCAGGGGTGTAAGTCTGTGCATATGTTTCCGTGTGTATGTGTGTGCATATGATGGCGATGTGGCTGTCAACCTGAAAAGGTATGGAGTCACTTGGGAGATACCATTTCCGAAGAGGTTTAATTGAGGAGGGAGCCCACCCTAAGAGTGGGTGGCACCTTCCCACAGGTGGCCCAGATATAAAGAGGTCTGAGGACTGGGCGGTGGCGGGGGGGGGGGGGGAGCACATGCCTTTAATCCCAGCACTCAGGAGGCAGAGACAGGCAGATCTCTGTGAGGTCGAGGCCAGCCTGGGCTACAGAGCAAGATACAGGACAGCCAGAACTACACAGTGAAACCCTGTCTTGAAGAAGAAGAAGAAGAAGAAGAAGAAGAAGAAGAAGAAGAAGAAGAAGAAGAAGAAGAAGAAGAAGAAGAAGAAGAAGAAGAAGAAGAAGAAGAAGAAGAAGAAAGCACTTCCTGGGTCCAAAGCTGGGTGCAAGATTGCTACATTTTCATCCTGACTTGAAATAGATCTTGAGTAAGGCTTGGTGATGTCATTTACACAAGGGTGTACGGTACCTAAGGCCACCAGGTGGCGCTTGCTGGCTGGGAAGAGGTGTCAGAAGTCCGAACAGCCATTTGGAGAAGTCGTGGCCTCCCAACACCTGAGTGACCAGGAGCACCAGGGCAAGGAGACAGAGGCCCTATCACTCAGTCAACTGCAGGGCAGGCCCTTCCCCAGTTTTTTTTCCGGGGTTGAGGGAGGACATCCACATTGCATGCCTGTCCTCTTGGAGGGCCCCACGGAGGGCAGCACAGTGGTCACACACCCTCACCACTTCCTCAGTCCTGGGTCCTGAGCACCCATGCCATGTCCTCATCTGTGCTCATCTCTGAGCTCAGTACAAGTAGAAGGCAGTTCCAAGTGTGCATCCAAGAGGGCTTCTAGCAGGAGGCAGTCACCGAGGCTCCCTTGGAGGAACGTCTAAAGGCCACACTTAAGAGCAAGGGAACCTACGCAGCAGGCAGATGCATAGAGACAGGGAGGCAGAGGGGATGGTTTAGCTTTTGATGAAGGGCTGGGGGCTGCCCTGGGGTGTAAAGTGAGGATTGAGCAGGGTAGGGCTCTCTGACCCAGTAACAATGAGCTCGACCTCTGCCCCTGGCCTGGGTTTCTCTCATCCTGATGCTCATGCCAGCCTGTTGACTGGCATGTCAACATGCAATGCCTGGGAGGGGAGCAGACCTTTCCCACTGTCGGGGAAGCCATCAGTGGCCAGGCTCTGTGGCTGGGCAGGTCTGCAACTTTGACCTTGTTTCTTCTGATAACAGTTCACTGGGAAACCATGCTCCAGGCTCAGAGACGTCCCTGCCTGTAAACTGTGTACAATGTCAGCCAAGAAACCAGTTGCCTGTAAGCACTTAAATCCTGGCGCCAGTCAGGAACCAAAGAGATCAGCTGACTCCGGCCTCGGAGCCTCAAGGGCCAACTCCATAGTATGCATACTGTGTCCTACTCCTGGAGGAGAGTCCTACTCTGTCCAGAGTAAAGCTAGCACACGCCAGAGCCACCCTCTCCCGGCCACCCTGCCGAGCAAGTAGAGTCTTCCCTATATGACAATGAGGAGAGAAAGAGGAAGGGAC